TAGTAGTAGTAGGATGATGGGTTGAATTAAAATGCTTTGGTCAAGGGTCGTGATTCACCCGTTCTTCGGTTGAATGGGGGCCATACTTTCTCAACATGGCCTGTGCTAATATAGGTATCAATCCATTACAGCAACATATCGACTGGCATTCTTGTCTGAGGAAAGACGGTAAAAAAGACTGAATTTTGACCGGTTTAGGTTCGTAGAAGCAACAGCAACGAGCCCCACGACTGGCGCCATAAGATTGTGGCCGGCGTGATGCCACGTTGGTAGCAGATCAAATCCAATATAGCTCAAGCCTAAGGCACCGAGCGATACAACGAGACAGTCGCGCGTATCTCAATATCGGATGCAAAACAGTTGTTCAGTTCACTACCGCTTCCGACGGTATCATTCCCAGGTCAATTTGCAAGATCGCACTGCGACGGGTTTAACGAGTGCCAATTCGTGCATGACGGCAGGATGGAATTGAACTTCAAGGCGTCTTGTTACGCAAAGGTAAACAGACCATTTTACGACTTGATCTTTGGTTTGGTCGGTTTCCGGTATGCTGATGCTTGACGATGCTCATGATGACATTTCCAACCCCGCCGTCGGTTACCTACCTCCTAAAGCACGGACTCCCGCTTGCGCTAAACCTAGAATAGGTTAGCACATCCCTTAGCAGCTATATTACATATTAATCAGGTGCAGAAAAGGGGGGAGATTTGGAGTACCAATTTTCATTTTTCCCTAATACTCCGGAACCTTAGCCCTCATAAAGTCTCCGAGAACTTGAAGTCAATGGCCTAATAGACGATTATTATGCCTGACACCATAAGCCAAAATGGAAATATCAGTTTTCAGCCAGTCGGTATGACGTCCCTCCCAGAGATGTTATTGAAAACCCTGGACGAGTGTGGCTATTGCTCTAGAAAGGGGATGCAAGTCAATCGGTTGATTGAATCCTCTCAAGGTCGCGCCCCCTTACATCTAGTGACATGCAAAATCATCTCATTATCGGTCTAAATATTTGCTTTTACGCAGGCTCAGTCATTGTTCCCATGACGAAATTACACAAACAGGTCTACCCCACCTAACTGTTTTCACATCTCCCTTCTTACTTTTTTCACCTCAGATTTGAAAGACTTCCTATTTGTGACAATCACGCGCACATGCGCAAGAATGGCTCAGGCACTTTCATTTGGCATCACGCCCGAAAAAGAAGCCAGCAGGTTCCAGTTCTATCGCCGGCAGTTTTCCGGGGCCCCGCCGGCGGTTTTGCGACAAGATGTTGACCTTAGCGGCAGGACAGCCATTGTTACAAGAGCCAACGGCAGCATTAGCCTAGAATTCTCCAAGCAGCTCCTCGAACTAGGCCTAAGCAAACTCATCCTCGTCGTTCGCGATGAGACCAGGGGAGAAGCCGCGCGCAAGTACCTGGCGGCTGAACCCAGCCAGACCATCGAAGTCTAGAAGCTAGACTACGCATCCTATGAGTCCGTTGCAGCTTTTGCGCGGCGGGTTGAGGATCTCAATCCTCGACTTGATGTTGCTATACTCAACGCCGGCGTCAACCGTTGCTGCTTTGCTCTAAATCTGACGACGGGCCACGAGGAAGACCTGCAAACCAACTATCTCTCGACTGTCCTACTAGCACTTCTCTTGCTTCGCGGCATCAAAAAATCCAAACCTACTGCGAGCCAGCTAAAATATTCCCCGGCGCGAATTGTTATAGTGTCATCTGACATAGCGGCGTGGGCCAAGTTCGACGAGAGGAATAAGGAACCAATATTGAGAGCCTTCGATGATAAGACTAAATGGGATCATTATGATCGCTACTCCACAACCAAACTTCTAGGGCAGCTGTTCGTGGCCGAACTGGCCAAGCGTGTGTCTCCATCACTAGCCGTCGTCAACTGTGCCAACCCCGGGCTCTGCTACGGCTCGACGCTCGCCCGCGAGCTTGGTATTGTGGCTGCTATCTATATACGCATCGTCGGCCGGGCGCTAGCTATAGGCGCGCGTACACTTGTACATGCCGCCGTCAAGCAGGATGAAAGCTCGCATGGGCAGTATGTTGAAGATGGCGAGCTAAGACCATGAGTATCTTCTCCCTCTTCCCTCCAAGTATCGAGGCTGACATGTGTACGTTACCCTCCCAGAATGGCGCCTTTTGTGCATTCCAAAGAGGCAGAACAGATAACTCAACGACTATGGAAGGAGACAATGGAAGAGCTCTCCTTTGCCGGAGTTGAAGACATCATTGAAAGCTTGGCTCAGGTTTAGAATCAATTCGAAAGTTGATATACCAGAGATACCTAATATTAGGGGTTGTATAAGATAATTACCTAGGTAGGTTATGAAGAAGTACTATGAGCTCAAGTTTAAACACTTATGGCCGAGAAAGTGAGAATTTAGAAGCAAGGCGGCAGGGTAAAGGGATGGTCTGCCTAGGAAAAGTAGGCAGCTGTGCTATGGGGCTTTTCCGTGAGTTTACCTAAAGCATACCTGCCTATTTACTTCAACCGATCATAAAAACCTCTCAAAATGCAGGAACAGTTTTGCAATTCTTGCTTGCTCATTAGTTTCATAGGACTGCTTTGGATGGCGATGTTTTCATGGTAAGAGGGTGACGGTAAGCGTCATAGTGTTACACAAAGCAGACGCCTTTGAAGGGATAGGCACCTATAAGTTCTAGGCTAGGTAGGTACCTTTTCCGAAGGTTCCGGGCTCTCTAACATTCATCTTTAGCCACCGCACTCACCTAGGTTATATCGTCATTAGTAGTATGTTGTTCCTCGAGATGCTCAGTTCCGCTGCTGGATACGTGGCGTACGCTTTGGTTTTAAGTGTAAGTTCATGCAACCCGTCATTACCTTGAATACCCAGGTAGATAATTGACGTACTTGCTGTAGCTTCTCCTAGTCGTCTCGTACCGCCTTCTACTGCACCCTCTGCGCAACCATCCATGGCCGCTCATAGCCAAACTGACCGATGCTTACGCCGGCATACATGCTGCCCAGAGACGTCTACCCTTAGTTGTCTGGCGACTACATGAAAAGCATGGTAAGACCTCAGACCGGACTCATACTCCATAGTCCTACCGTATTAATCCAAATTATAGGACCGGTGGTTAGGCTGGCGCCAAACAGGCTACTATTTAATACTGTCACGGCTTTTAGGAGTAAGTTACTGCAAACCAAGAATTTGACTCGGATACTGAGCTGCTTCTCAAAGGCATTTATCAGAATGATGATTGCATCACCAAGGCATTTACATATGAGCTCCTCACCAGGAACGGAGTCTACAGTGTGTTCAACACCCTGGACAGAGATCTGCACCGCGCCAAGCGGAAAGTCGTCGGGCAGGCTTTTTCTGAGCGGTCGATCCGGTCCTTCGAGCCTGCTCTCCTGCCCCAGGTAAACATTTATCTCAAACAGTTTCTCGAGTCGTCGCGCCAGCCCGTCAACATGACGCAGAAGATGGGCCATCTCGCCATCGACATCGTTGCGCAGCTCGCGCTGGGCTATGACATTTCTACGCAGACGAGCGAGGAGAACCGCTTCTTCGCGAAAGCAATGACGATGAGCTTCTTCGTCGGCAACATCTCACATCATCTCCCCGCCTTTCACAAGGTTCATACCAACAGGATATTTGACTACATTTTTTACGCGACGCGAGAGAGATTCATCCGCCTTCTGGAGAAGATGGTACGATCACGCCTCGCCCTGGACACGCATGCGAAGCCTGACTTCTTCTCCTTCGTCGCCCAAACACTCCCCAGTGAGGCGACTAAGACGCGCGACAGTGTCGTCTGGAAGGAGGCCATGGTCTTCCTTGTAGCCGGCGGGGATACGGTGGCTACGGCCATGACGGCCACGTTCTTCTACCTGTCACGGAATCCAGCCTGCTATGCGCGCCTAGCCAACGAGATACGGGCCACGTTTTCAAGTGGCAGAGATATCAAGAGCGGATCGCAGCTGGCGAGTTGCGTTTACCTCCGCGCCTGCATTGATGAGGCCCTTCGAATGTCTCCCCCTATATCGGCGAACCTATGGCGACAACAGGTTGCCACGGATGAGAAGCCGCTAGTCATAGATGGCCCCTATATCCCTAGGGGCACCCTGTTTGGCGTGAACGTCTATGCCTTGAGTCACAACGCTGCCATCTTCCCTGAGCCTTTTGAGTATAAACCGGAGCGCTGGCTCTCTTCCAGTAGCACCAACTCGGAGAATGACGAGGCAGGTAGGAAGCCGATGCTCGAGGCTTTTGCTAGCTTTTCGATTGGACCGCGAAATTGCGTAGGTAAACCACTAGCATATCTAGAAATCTCCCTAGTCCTCGCCAAGACTCTTTGGTATTTCGATTTTGAAATCGCCCCCGGTCCGCTTGGCTCCATTGGAGAGGGTAGGGACAGAGGAAGGCCAGGCGAGTTCTGCACCCAAGACGGCTTCAATTCTACCCATGATGGTCCGTTTCTAGTCTTTCATACGCGGGACTTAGCTTCTATGAAAGAAGACCTCGATATAAATTTTTTAAAGACATGATATTAGAAAGCGTCATAACGTATTTATTAATCTTTTAAAAATATGTACTTGGACATTTAAAGAGTTAAATACCATATAAAAATGCCGGATCGATTTTACCCTAGGCAGGTAAGTAGTTTAAAAAAAACAGCACGATGTTCGAAGGGTAGTTTTAGTAATATATCAGAACTTCACCTTAAAGCTAAAGGAATCCCGGCCCTTCCGTCCAGGCCGGTAATAGAATAGCACACGAACGCGGGCGTAGAAGAAGGTAAAAGATAGATTGGTCGGGCCTCCGAGTAGATTTCGGAGTGTCGAGAAGATAAATCCCGAATCGACATGTTTTTGTTCATGCGAAATCAGTTTGTAGCGGATGTGAGTATAGGGGGAACGCGGTTCCTAAGACGCAGGCAGATTGATATATTAATAGGGTCTACAAGACAGATGTCAAGCAGTCGGGATCCAGAGATGTAATCGATACCCATTCTATAGGATCCCTTAGCCTAACGGTATGGCATCTAACTACAACCGAGTGTGAGCAAACACGCTTGAAAGATCAGGAAGGTATCGGGTTCGAGTCCCGGAGAGATCGCTTTTTTCTTGCTCCCAATCTCCTATTGTCCGCTTCCTAATTGACTTAATCCCGGACCTAGGAGCCCCCTAGCTCGACTAGGTCAGTTATAGTCGGGTGTATTTATCTATATAACACATCCATAGGACATGAAAGTTGTCTCATAGGTGATTCTGTCTCATCGACTATACTTGTCACGAAAGCTAATGGTCTGCATCAAAAAGACCCAAGTGTTTGTTACATTTGGTTTTACGCAAGAAGCGTCACCCACGCAATCGTACCACGATCTAGTCATACGGAAGTGACTGTCGCTCTACAAGATCGTGATTTTCCGCTTATTCAAATGCCCGAAAATCAAGAGATTCCATAATTATTCAAGGGCACGCAGATTGGAGACTAGACTAAGTGGTCTTATATAAATTTCAGAGGGTTGCAGGTTAGTCTTTCTCCGTTTATATGACCGCTACCTCAATCGGTACATTTCAGAAGCTAGGTGGTGATTTTTCATACGATGTGCGTAAACCATATATTAATTAGAAAACAACAATATTACCCAATATATATTTCCAGTATCCAACTACTCATAATCAAACCTCCATAACGGTGTATCTTGTGGTGTTATGACCCATCTGTCTAACCAAGACACCTCTCATTCCTTCACCGGCCATGAACCGAAGGACCGCACGAAAGGCGTTGATGTTGTTGTCCCGATCATTGATGATGACACCAACGTTAATAGTCTGGCCTTTGCGATGGCTGCCTCTTGCTATTCCGTAACCGGAATGGATGCCAATTACCTTTCCCGTGCTGTTGAATACCGGACTACCAGAGCTTCCTACAACGTGTTTTAGCACAGTATGGTGGGTGGAATCATAGATACATACCACCTTTCGTATTGAGTTCGTATTCGAGAACTCCGTTTGTTTCCTGAATGTCGTACTTGGCTTCGCATTCGCTGACTCGCATTGTATCATTGTATCCTGGGTTGTTCGAATATCCTCGGAGTATCAGTCTCTCGCCCTCTGCATGCCTGATCGGAGTCGGAATGTAGGATAGTTCCTTGCACTCCACACGTTCGTTAAGGCGAATGAAGGCGAGATCGCTCTTCCTCATGAACCCTGAGTACCAACCCCAGTGTACCACAACGTGGATTCCATGTCGTTTTGCGAGATCGGTTCCGAAGACGGCTTCTACTGAGCGGAGACGACCAAACGTCTCGTCGTAGGCAATATGTCCCGCGGTTGCAATGGTCTTGTCGTCGACAAGCCATCCAGTCCCTAGGTATACATCATTCTCGCTACCAGGAATATGTCTGTCAAACCGGCCTCGAAGGCGAGCGATGCCTGGAGGTTGTTAGGAGGGCTACCTTAAGTGCTAGCTTAAGAACTTACCTAGAAATTTCCCCCGTGATGAAATATCAGCCAAAGAAACATCTTTCTGTTCACTTCCCATACCGTATAGAATTGCCTCCTTCGCGGCCGCCTCCTCTCTGTGGAGGTCTCTGCGTGTATGCTCCCCAATCACAGGGACTGATGATAGCTGCCAGCCAACCATGTCCGATTTGGTACTTAGGGGATTGATGATGTTCACACCCCCTACAATGCGCCCTACAACACGAAGCTCGAGATTCCGCACATGGGTCGAAAACCTCTCGGCGATATTCGACAACACTTTGGAGTCGTGCTGCGCTACTATACTGAAGGTTTGCACGCTTCTATCTAGCAGTATCGGTAATGCCTTAGAAGAGCGCTGCATCCTCGAGACTAAGTTGCCAGCCTTTAGGCTGAACGCCCTCCTCTGTCTGAACGGCCTTCTCCAGCTAAAAATCGTGGAAACCCCTTCCTAAACGTCTCAAGTTAGTGAAATTTTTGTTAAGCATTGAAGTCGTATCCACCTGATTGACTGCTACACGACCAAATGTATGTGATGCCATTTGGTCTATCATCTCCTCGATATCATGCATCTCTACATGGAGTTTATTGCGATGGAACAAGTACTGTAGAAGTAACTGATAACGCCTAAACCATTCCGGAACACTTGGCCAAGATGTCTGGACATTCTGTGTGCAAAGGCCATCCCTAATATCTATGTTGTAAGTTAGCATCATTGCGAGAATGGGGCTAGAGGCAACTCACCGAATTCCGTACGCTCGTCATGTGGATAGGCGACGGTTGCGTAGTCATTGTGTTCCACCTTGGGCACTGGCTGAAGATCGGTCGAGGTCATGTTTGTACTTGTTGTCCGAGATCGAGGAAACTCGACTGGAGATTGATGTATATACGATGTGAATAGAATAGCATCCCCAAAACTTCCAAAATTTCATCACCTCACTGTATATATAATAAAATCGGCCATCTTATCGTGGTCACAGTAGTTACTCATATAGTCCTGACTCATCACGATCCTGAGCTGGAATAGGGGCTGAAAAGCTCCTCGAAGCTCTAACTAAACGTGGAAATGAGTGTAGAAGTTAGTGACTGAGATATACTATGCACCAACCATGGTCAGAACGTTGGTTCGATTTATTTAATCAGGTCATTAGATCCGATTTAAACAGGTAGAAAAGTTGAAGTGAGTGAGGAGTGAGCGGTTGAGTATTTTCGGTTACGTGAATATATGCATTGGAACCATCTTCGGAACTTAGGCTTTTAAATGAAATTGGCTGTATAAGTGCATATAATTAAGTCGATAAATCAGTATGCATTCTCTCAACGGAAACTTTTCCTGTTCACTGGCATATATTTCAGACTCAATGAGCGCAAGCAAAGAATCTAGTGTGTCATGACAAGCCTCTATCTCATACGCGGCCCTATGTGCCGGTCGTGGTTAACACAACCATCCCACATCATAAAACGACACAAATTCTCAGGGCGGACCGGCTTAGCTCGGAAACCCAAGGCGGGCGCACTCCCTAGCACCCCAGCTAGGACGCGATTCGCGCCGTCGCCCACCGGATACTTGCATATAGGCTCGTTGAGGACGGCGCTGTATAATTATTTACTCGCAAAGGCAACCGGTGGCCAGTTTTTGTTAAGAGTGGAAGACACAGATCAGGTGAGCTGAACCTACCCCTACGGAGTCGTGAGACCAATGTTCTAAGTATCTGTCCCTTTAGTTGAGAATTGTTCCCGATGCTGAGAGAAAGCTTTACGAACACTTGAAATGGGCCGGTTTGAGTTGGGACGAAGGTGTGCAAGTAATGTTCCTCCGGTAGACTGCTCGCATTCTTATTCGTAATTTTTTGCAGGCCCCGATGTTGGAGGACCATATGGCCCATATAAGCAGGTATTTCCATCGCAGCTCATTTCACCAAGTTCGTGATGCTAAACTCGCAAAAGTCTGAGAGACTAGACTTGTACACCAAGTACGCAGAGCAGCTCCTCAACGAGGGCCACGCGTACCGATGTTTCTGCACGCCCGAAGATCTCGATCAGATGAGGGCCATAAGCATGCAAGAAGGCAGTCCGACCATCTATAACAGGACTTGCACCCACATTCCTCCGGATGTTTCTGCTAGGAGGGCAGCAAACGGGGAGCCGCATTGCGTGCGCTTCAAGTACGACCACCCGCCGGTGGTCAACGACCTGGTGTACAAGGTCTATAAGAAGCCCGGGCCGGAGGACGACTTTATCATCGTCAAGCGAGATGGGTACCCGACATACCACTTCGCCAACGTCGTCGACGACCATCTGATGAAGATCACACACGTCATCCGAGGTGCTGTGAGTGATCTACCGCTCACGCATCCTTCTCTTTGCACTTCTAGCTAACACGGGAACCCCAAGGAATGGCTTGTGTCTACCCCTCAGCATATAGCACTCTACGAGGCGTTCGGCTGGCAGATTCCCCAGTTCGCTCACGTCGGGCTTCTAGTAAACGAGAAGGGGCAAAAACTAAGCAAGCGCACCGGAGACGCCGACATCGCCTCCTGGCGGGACCGCGGGCTCCTGCCTGCTACGCTGCTGAACTACGTCATGCTGCTGGGCTGGAGCCTCGGCAAGGGCGTGAAGGGGCAGCCGGAGGCCATGGACTTGGACGAGATGGTCGGCAAAGTAAGTACCCGCCGGGTGTCGTAACTACATTCTCGTGGTAGAGAAGAGGCATTGACACCGTGTAGTTTCACCTCAAGTTCACCAAGGGCAACGTCACGATCAACGACAAGTACAAGTTCCTACAGTCGGTCCACGTGAAGCGCCTAGTGGAGCAGTCAGGCGGTACCGAGAGCGTCGTTGCCCTATATCTTCCCGCGGTGGAAGCCTTCGTCAACAGCTACTCTATCAGCGATGCATCCAGGCTCGGGCCCCTAGTACCGCGTGCCCGGCCCCAGGCGGGCCAGGACGGCGCCGAAGCCGTGGTCTCCAAGGACTATCTCGAGAAGATCCTGCAGCTGGACGTGCGGAACTGCGGGGACGCCGCAACCTGCGTGTTGCGGAACGAATACCTGATCTGGCAAATCCCCGAAGGAAGTCTCCGCTTCGGCTTGTCTCGACTAGTGGCAAGCATTTCTCAGCTCCTGGTCGACGAGACAGATTCTGAACCTGTCCGGGAAGCGTCTTCATTGCCGCTAGAAACAGAACAAGGTATCTTACAAACCATCGCCGAGCAAACTCAAACACTACGGAAGCTGCTGCAAGATATCGAGGACGATGGGTGGACCAGCGAAAACATCGAGCAAGTCATGGGGCCGTACCTCAAATCCACCGACCCCTTCTCCTTTAAAAAAGGTAAGAGGTTATGGAAGTACCAGCTGCTGCGATGGGTTCTCGTGGCCTCGAAGCCCGGGCCGGGCCTGATACCGTGCATGGCGATACTAGGCAAGGAGGAGACGACGAGGCGAGTGGACGCGGCCTGCAAGTTTACCGCAGCCCATGCATCTGGCGCCAGCAAGCTATAGTATAGTCTACCAAACCAAGGAGACGACAGTCACGTTCAGAATATAAAAAATAGGAACTTGTGTATCAGATGCAAAGCATTGATGAATGTATTATTATTTTACCCTTACAAAACAAACTCAACCCCGT